ATGGGAGCTGCTAACTCTCAGAGAGGGTGAGTGGCTTGCCTCAGGGTGAGCAGCTGGAAATGCTGAACCTGAGTTTTCCAAGCCTGTTCCGCCTACCAAGAGCGCTAAGGCCTCCTCCCTTTCCGTGAGCCAAAGCAGACATCAGACACTGCCCCCCATGGCAACCTGGAGTTTAACAGATTCTTCTGGCTCTCAGTCTGCACTCTAAAAGCCCCTGTTTGAAATTCCCTGCGCACCTAGAGGCAGCCACAAAGAACGGACGCCCGGACTGGTGTACCACCTGGATGTGCTCTGCAGAGGCCTTGGCACACATTCCCCCAACGGCGCCAGCACCCCGCCATCTGTCCCCACCTTGCAGGTGACTCGGTCGCATCTCCTCCGTAGTGCACTCTGCAATGCACTGCCACACCGTTGGATAGCACCCCAACACAGCACCCACCCTAGATGTGGGCATCCTGGGCCGCTCAGGGTGAGGAAGGACCAGGAGCCAAGGTGGGAGGGGCAGCCTGCTCAGTCCCAGACTCCCTGCAGCAGGAAAATGAAGGGGTGTCTGCCTGCGTAGCCCTAAAAGACTGGTTTAGGGAGCTGGCCCTCTGAGCTCTGCTGAGGGGAATGAGAGTCACTCTGACGGTAATAACAATGTTGACATGGACGTGGCCACCACACCCACGACATCATCTCGTTTATCCTCAAGCCTTGTGACATGTCCTGATTAGTTTTGCCATCAGCTTGGTACCCGGAAAGCGGGACCCTGAAGGGAAGCATTGCCTCCATTGGATGGGCCTGTGGGCCCGACTGTGCTGCAACTCTCTCTCTCCCTCTGTGTAGCCCAGCCTGCGCGGCAGCTTGCTATGTGGACCAGGCTGGCCTCAAGCTCACAGCTGTCTGTCTGCCTTTGCCTTAGTTGCTGGGGTTAAAGATGCGTTCCGCCACGTCTGGCCCCTGTAGGGCATTTCCTTGATTAATATTGGAGGGCCCACCTCGCTGCGAGGGATGCCTCCCTTGGGCACGTGGCTCTCGGTTGTGCCCGTAAGCAAGCTGATCCATCCATCAGCCAGTAGTGGCGTTTCTCCGTGGCTTGTGCTTCAGCTCCTGCCCCGAGCGATGTCCCTCCGTGCTAAACTGTGGCCTGGGAGTTGTCAGAAGAAGTAAACCCTTCCTCCCCTAGGTGGGTTTTAGCCAGTGTTTCCTTTTGCTCTTTAGGCTTATTTGTTTCTACTGGATGAGTATGTTACATGCATGAGTACCTGTGTGTCACATGCGTGCCTGGTGTACTCGGAAGGCAGAAGAGGCTGTTGTGAACTTTCTCGTGGGTGCTGGGAATCGAACCCGGGTCCTCTGCAAGAGGAGCCAGGGCCCTCGACTGCTGAACCGTCGCTCCTGTCCCTGGTCAATGTTTTCTACAGCAGCTCAGAAAGTGAACTAGGGCAGACCCACTCACACAGCAGATGAGGGACAACCTGCTAATCCACTCCCCTGTGGAGCAATGACCAGACCAGCAGGTCCCCGAGACAGCCTCTGTTCTCACTTAGCGCTGGGGAGCTGCTATGCTTAGGATTCCGGAGCCGGGTGGCAAGCAGTTAGACCATCAAAGAAGACACAGGGTTCTGGCCCCTTCCTATCGTATCTTGGATACCTGGGCCTCTTGAAGTGGGGGTGTCTCCTCTACTTCTCCCCCACATGTCACGTCCTATGGGCCTGAAACAATCGCACCTAGCAACCCTGACGGAGCCCTCTGAAGCCATGAGCTGAAACGTATCTGTCCCCCTCTGAGATCAACTGTCTCGGGACTGGTCACACCAAGGATGTCTAATGACTGCAGGGGGGGGGTGGAGGGAGGTTTGTGCTCACAGGCCGACGGCAGAGCTGGGGGGGGGGCGGGTAAGCTCTACTAGAGCCTGTAGGCTCAGGCAATAAGCCAGAGTTAAGGCAAGTTCTCAGCCGGAGCCTACAGGATTTCAGGTTAGAAGGTTTGGGGTCTCTGCCTAACAAGCTCCCAGGTACTGCTGCTGGTCCCATTGGAACCACACTGAGAACTATGAGCTGAAGGAGTAGCCAGAAAACAATGATGCCTTCACTATGCTCCTCCCTGGTCTCATAAGTCCACATCTCAGGTAGTGTGAGCCAGCCTGTGGGGGCTCTCGGGCCTCTGCTGGCCTCAGAAGCTTAGATGAAGGTCCTGCTCTCCCTCTGGTTACATACCCCAGGGGGCTTCTTGCCCATGGGAGCCTGGTTCCTCATCTGCATATTATGGAGGAGAGTAGGCTGTGTGCCAGAGAAAAACCATGAGGCCTGAGATTAGCCTCATTTGGAAGGAACCACCTAGCAGCTTGGGGAAACGTGGGGTGGGTAGTGTCATGGCTCAGGCTACCTGGGCTGCAGAGCAGCAGGGACTTTCTCTCTCCAAATGCTGATAGCCAAGCCCTCCTTGTCCCTTTGGTTCCCATGCGGGTTGGAGTGGAGCCTGCAGAGCCCTGAGCACACAATGTTTGCATCCAGGAAAAGAAATCCTTGAGCTAAATGCCGGCCTCAGAGCTCCCCGTCATCCCAGAGAGAGCAGGAGCCGTGGAAGGTTTCAGAGCATGGTTGGGGGAGTCAGCGCCACTTCTCTGAAGCTGCTTCCGGCAGTCAGTGGGAGATGGTCAGGCTGCCAGGAAGGGGGCTGTGCGCAGGCTGTGTTGGTTAGCGTCTCTGATCCCCTCTTGGCTGTTGTCACCAGCTGCGTTGTGTGACTCTAGGGTTGCCTGTGAGGACTGTGCCCACTGTGACTACAGACTAAAACTATGAATTCCCGGAAGCTTTGCAGACTGTGGCAGAGAGACCTCTCGCCCTGGTGAATGAGGCAGCTGGGGGTCTCGGGGAGCCCTCGTGCAGACCCAAAGTGTCCTGGACAGGCAGCTTCTGGCACTGCTGGGCTTGTGCTGTCAGACGACGGAAGCATCGGCTGGCTGCAGTGCGCTTTCCCAGAAGATGTGACAGGAGGGTTAGGGGGGACAGGGCACTTGTGTACAGTCTGAACCAGTGTGTGCAGGGGACAACGTGGGTCATTAGGTGTCCAGCCACTGAGATCCCCCTCATCTGGAAGGAAGAGGTGAAGGCAACAGAAGTTGGGGTTCAGAGGGAAGTCACCTCCCCTCGGCTTCCTGGAGAGGGGAGTAACATTTGGTCAGGGCAGTGCCAGGTGCCAATGGCAACCAAGAGCCTGGAGGGTAAATGCCCCTCTTGTCTCCTCCTTTCCCCTGGATGCCCATCAAACTCTCAACTACCTGAAACCAGGCAGCTGGCCCAGATATGGCGGCACCCACACAGGCGCCTTCACTGATGGAGCCGCTGGAGCGGGCAGGGCAAACCAGGGGCGTGGGTATGACAACCACGCCACCACCAGCCTCTGCCTGTGCCATCCTTGTGCTCCCTGTCTCTCCCCTCTTGGTAAACAGGTCTTTCTAGAATAATCCTCGTCTGATGGTGATAGTTGATCCTTGTCCGACAGTGATCTTTGATGCCCTGTCAAGCGCACCGGCAAATGCTCCTCGGAGGCTGTCCCCTGCCTGGCTCCCTTACCCCAGCAGACCGGCGGGGGGGGGCGTTCCCGGATGGACTTTCTGCCTTTACAGTCTATGTTTGGTCCCCGTTACTTTGGTCTTTGTGATAGCGGCTTCCTGGTTCCACTGTCTCAGCGGCACGGAGAGAGGTGTTCGGAGGTCCCCATCTCTCCACCTGACATGCCAAACGACACTGTAGGTTCCCAGGGCCCTCTATCCCCCCCTGCCTCCCTCACACGGCTCCCTGCCTCTTTTTCACGTTCACGTTACCCAGGCATGTCTTTGTGTCTGATCACGGCAGGTGGTAGCCTGTGATCTTGAACTTGACAGCCTTCAGCGTTGTCGTCTGGGGTGTCCAGGAGGACATGCACCTTGAGGAAGAGCTGTGGTCCAGAGAACTGGCTGAAGGATGCTTAGGAGTCGCTGCCAGGATCTCAGGGGTTTTGGGACCCAGCAGGTGTGGGAGGGAGGGAAGAGGCCCCTCATTAGGTATTGGTCAGGCCTCTGAGGGTTCGCCTGCCCGCTTCTCCATCATTCACACTGGTGTTGACGGTTTATTTCGCATCCCCTTTATAGTGTCACCGTAGGAGAGAAACCTCCCCGCCCACCCCCTGTTTGCAAGGCACACCTTTACATGACCCCCGGGCCACCATCCACGTCCTCACAGAGTCAGCCCTCCCTGGGATCCACCGTGTTTGCTTCTTCATGCCCTGGCTTGTGGTCTGGTCTCATGTTTAGACTGTACCTTACACCCAAAAAGGGTTTCAAGGAGTTGATGACCCAAAGCCTTGGTTTGGTTGAAAGAATTATTTTGCACTGTTTTTAGGGGTTATATGGAATTCTATTGTCTGGTGCGTGTGTGCGTTTTGTTATTATTTATTTTTGTTTCCTGAGTCAAAGGGTTTTTTTTCTTCTTTCTATCTTCATCTCCCTTCTTCCCTCCGTCCCTCCTCCCTCCCTCCCTCCTTTCTTCCTTTCTTTCTTTCTTTCTTTCTTTCTTTCTTTCTTTCTTTCTTTCTTTCTTTCTTTCTTCTCTGTGTAACTTTGGCTGTCCTGGAACTCAGACCAGCCTGGCTTCAAACTCACAGAGATCCACCTGCCTCTACCTCCTGAGTGCTGGGATTAAAGGCATGTGCTACCACACCCGACTTCTGAGACAGTTTCTGTAACTCAGGCTGGCCTGGAGCTTGCTATGTAGCTAAGAATGACCACAAACTTCTGATACTCCTGCTTCTGCTTCCCAAGCCGAATTAATTATCTTCTGTTGCTGGGATAAAACACCATGACCAACTTATAGAAGGAGGAGTTTATTTGAGTTTAAGGCTGCAGAGTTCAGAGTCGTGAAGTCATGGCAGCAGGAACAGGAAGCCTGAATCACAAGCATGAGGCAGAGAGGAGTGGACGGGGCTGGGCCCTGGTGACATATTTCCTCCTGCAAGGAGACACCTCCTAGCCACCCCACCCCCCCAAAAAAAACACAGTGCCACCAACTGGGACCAGCATTCAAATGCCCAAGACTACAGGGGCATTTCCCACTCAAACTGCACGTAAGTGCTGTAAGCCACAAGTGTGCACCACTGGGCCTGGGGGAATCCTACCTTTGGAGAGTCCCAGACTTATCTATTCTTCTGCCCGGGTGAACATTTAGGCTTTCATTTTTCCATGTGACTGTCACTGCTCAAGTGGCTGAATCAGCCCAGCGGAGGTCACACCCTGCAGGAGAACTGTTTGCCAGGGTGTGGGCAGGGTCAGGTCAGGAAGGATGGGGAGGACTGATGGTTGTGTCCCACTGCAGATCCCGTGGAAGGAGTGTCACCATCTGAGCAGAGCCCCCAAGGAAGGGCTTGACGGGAGCTGTGCTGTCAGCTGTTGGGTGAAAACATCCCTTACGCCCTTGCTAGACACCGGCCATGTCTGCAGTCTCCCAGGACAGCTCACGTGGGCGTACTGAGGAAGGTGGAATTTGATCTGTAGTGGTAAGGCAAACCTCTTAGCCCTATGCTGTTCAGACTTCACCCTTGTCCTGTGGAGGCAAATGTGTCCTTAACTCCAAAGGCCACAGAGTTGTCAGTCTCTGTGACTGTGACAACTAGGGTTGCATCTACCTGGAGCCTAACCCTTGGCATCACCATCAGTCTTTGCGTAAGGTGTGTGTGAGTGGATGACGCGGTCCAGCGGGAAGCAATCCTCTGTTTCCTGCTGCTGCCATGGCTGCTGCTGCCCTTCTCAAGCCCTGTCTCTGTGGAGGCTTTTTAGCAGCTCTTTCCCTTAGCTCTGGGGAGACATTCATTCAGGACTGGACTCCCCGCGGGGTCCATTTCTAGCGAGCTCCCTTCCTTTTATGCAATAAGAGTTTTTAACAAGAAGTATTAGGAGTGCCTCCCTGAAATTCGTTAGGTTCTGTACAAGATCCCCCTGCCTCACTAGCAGAACCTTTACAGGCCCCTCCCCCACCCCCACCCCCCACACCATGGTTGAGGCTGGGGTGGGGCAGGCAGGGCTCGTCGGGGAGGGGCAGCCTCAGTGGAAATCCTGCAACCCATCGGAACTGTGACGTGATGTGACTGTGTTTCCTGAAGGAAGCATTCCTTTCTTGGATGCTAGCCCAAGGTCGCAGGAAGGAAAGCAGAACTCCTGTGTGTTAGCTGGTGTTAGGCGGGCGGGCCTCCTCCCCGAGGCTTGGTTCCGGGACTCACCATGTGCTGGACTCTTGGGGCATGGCACCATTACAAAACCTGCTAGGGAAGGAATACACCACACCCTGCAGGGTGGGCTTGACGGTGAGGCATGAGGTAGTCAGGGGATTTCACAGGCATGAGCTCTCTACCAAACTTCCTTCTCCATAAAATGAAATCCTACTGCTCTCCGTGATGTTGTCTGAGTCGCCATGGTGATAGATAAATAGAGCATTCTCAAAGCCCAGAAACGGTGGTGTTGGTAGAAATGATGTGGCCGGGGAAGCAACTCCCTGCCCACTGTGTTGGAAGGAATGTAACGTCGGTGACTGGGAGGGCGTCAGGTGAACGGCACAGCACGGGCCTCAGCTGATGGAGTGTGGCGCTGTGCCACTGAGGAGAGCCGTGCCAGTCTGGGTGAGGGGCGTCTGTGGCCGCCATCCCTCCCTCTTTTGTCATTTGTACCTGGGTCCATGGAACAAGCACTGGCGGGGGATGAGAGACAGCTGGTGTCTTCAGAAGGTCGCCCTGTACAGGTAACTTCTGAGAGCCTCTCCCCGTGGAACCTGCTTGGTGAATCTTCATTCTCACAGGCTGGCATGGAATGCCTATCTTGACAAGTACACCCAAATTGCCACCCACCCCCAAGAGGTGCACCTTTCAAAGCCTGTGGTGGGCTGGACAACACGTTAGTTATGAATCAACATGGAGTTTCACCTTCTGGGAGAATTTCTCTTCAGTGTTGTCCTTTAGGAACTTGCCTCACTGGGTCCAACCATCACCCCGGGGAGAGCAGTCTTTACTCCGGTTCCGTCCTGTGTTGGCTGACCAGGAGGTTGTAGCTGTGGGGTCAGAAGAGTTTGCAAACACCATGGGCACCGGGCTACCTACTCATGACATTCACAATACATCTGGGTCCAGGATCATTTTACCACGGAATGCTATTGTGCATACCTGGTTTTGTGGTATCGTGGATAACATCGACTTTTTGATGGGCAGATAAATTGGGTTGAATAGTTTCTTGGTATCCATGGCCAAGCAGTGACCTTTATTAAGCCAGTACTAAGCCAGTGGCAAGCCAGAAGGAGCCTTTGAAATGGAGAACAGTAGTCAGTAGAAGAAATGGATTTACTCCACCACCCTGGAGTGTCTAGTGTAATGGTTCTCCTACCAGAACTGGCTCTACACACACACACACACACACACACACACACACACACACACACACACACACACACACGCACTCACGCACACGTGCAATGCCTTTAATCCCAGCACTGGGGAGACGGAGGTAGGTGGATCTCTGTGAGTTCAAGGCCAGCCTGGTCTACAGAGCGAGTTCCAGGACAGCCAAGGTTATTCAGAGAAATCCTGTCTCAAAAAAAAAAAGACCCAAAACAAAAATTATTCCTTTTACTTTTTGAGGTTATAATATAATTGCACCATATTCCCCTTTCTTTCTCCCTCTAAAACCCTCCTCGCTCTTTCAAATTCATGGCCTCTTTTTTCATTAATTGTTGTTACACACACACACACACACACACATATATATATGCACATGTCTATATACATATATGTTCCTAAATCTATAAATACAACCTGCCCCGTCTATAGAATGTTACTTGTGTATATGTTTGCAGGGCTGACTATTGGTACTGGATAACCAGTTGGTGTGCTCCTCCTTAGCTGCCTGCCGTTCTTTGTGTAGGTTTGAAGCCTGGTGGGCTCTCCACCCCACTGCCCATCCCCATCTATTTTACCGTGTCTGTGATGTCCTGGTTCAGATCACATTTGGGCAGCCATGCTGGTGAGACTGTATGGGTGCAGCTTCGGATGTTACTAGGAGACAGTTTCACGGCAAACTTCTGATCTTCTACCCTTCCTGCCCCTCCTCTGGGTGGTTCCTGGGCTTAGGAGTTGCTTTGTAAATGTATCTGTTGGGACTGGGCTCCACAATTTTCCGCTTGGATTGGTTGTGGTTTTCCTTAGTGGTTTCTGTCTATTGCAAAGAGAAGTTTCCTCGGTGAGGGCTGAGAACTCTCCTTACTGTCATTGAAGATTGGGAGCTAGAAGCCTCAGATGAGACAGAGCACATGTCTTTCTGTGTCTGGGTTACCTTGCTCAGTGTGACCTTTTCCAGCTCCGTTTGTCTGCAAAGTTCTTGATTTCATGTTGCTTTGCAGCTGAATAGTATTCCATAGCGTATATTCCCACGTTTTCATTACTCATTCATTGGCTAAAGGACATTGAGGTTGTTTCCATTTCTAGCTATTGGTTCGTCACCTGCTGCTGTCCCAGACTTCGCAAGTGCTCCATTCATGTGTGCGCGCGCGCGTGTGTGTGTGTGTGTGTGTGTGTGTGTGTGTGAGTGTATGTGTGTGTGTGAGTGTATGTGTGTGTGAGTGTATGTGTGTGTGTGTGTGTGAGTGTATGTGTGTGAGTGTATGTGTGTGTGTGCGTGCACGCTCCTGCACATGCACTTGTGTGGGGCGAGGTCAGAGACTAACTTTTGGGAGTCACTGCTCTCCTCACCCTGTGGGTCCCCGGGATCAAACTGAGGTTATCGGGCTGGGTGGCAAGCCCCTTTCTTAGCTGATCCACCTCACTGGCCCCCTGAATAATTCTATTTTTGTTTTTTTGTTTTTTTTGGTTTTTTTTTGGTTTTTCGAGACAGGGTTTCTCTGTGGCTTTGGAGGCTGTCCTGGAACTAGCTCTGTAGACCAGGGGTGCTGGGAATTTGAACCTGGGTCCCCCACAAGAACAACAAATGTTTTTTTTTTTTTTTGGTTTTACGAGACAGGGTTTCTCTGTAGTGTTTTCTAGGCTGTCGGTCCAGCCCAGCCTCGAACTCACAGAGATCCGCCTGCCTCTGCCTCCCGAGTGCTGGGATTAAAGGCGTGCGCCACCAACGCCCGGCCGAATAATTCTATTTTTAAGTTTTTAGTTTCACGACTCGTAAGTAATATCTAATCTGTTACTAGTTACATACAGAACATTTTCAGTTTGGGGGCTGCAGTTTTTATCGTTCAATGTTAAATTAAAAATTAAAATGACTGTTAACTTTTGCTGTTCTGATGTCTCCTGCTAATTCTCTTGTGGTGTGAACTGTGGGCTGGCTTTGACTCTAAGGTTCCTCACTGGAGACTGTCCTTTCCTACGGGCTCATTTGAAAGCTTGGTTAGCCTTAACTGGTTGCCAGGAATTGTGATGTTGCCGTTTGGGATGCTGGGTATTTTGTAGCTTTGTTCTGGGATGAAGTTGAACCACTTGTGAAGAGTTTGATGTTACTGTGTCTGTTCTGGTGGTTTAGCTGACAGAATCGTGCTCAGTCCAGTGCCCTCTTTCCCCTCACTCTTCCTCCTCTTGTGGACTGAACTCGAGGCCTCACACTTGCTAGACCAGAGCTCTACAAGAACCCAAATCCAGTCTAGGGTTTATCCAGGAGGTCTAGCGGTGGTGATCCCACCGTTGTTTGACATCTGGGTCTGAAGGTTCCCCCAAGCCCCGCCACTAGTAACAGAAACCTTAGTTTCTAGTTGGTGGAAGGAAGTCATCGTGGCCATGTTCATGAAGGGTATAGTGGGAACCTGCTCTTTCCTCTCCTGTTCTCTGCTTCCTGGTTGCCATGGTGTAAAGAGATTTTCTCTGCTATACGCTCCTTCCCATAATTCTCTGCTTCACCGTGGGCCTAGAAACAATAGTCCAGTGGTCACAGAATGAAGTTTCAGGAATTGTGAGCCATAGTAAATGCTTCTCCCCTTAAACTATCTTTTTCCTCAGCCTTTTTTTTTTTTTCTCCCCACAACGACAGAAAGTTGCCGGACACAACCACCTTCCTGAGAGTTCTATCCAGTGTCTGTGAATTATGGAGTTTTCTAGTCTGGCTCCTGGGAAACATTATCTTTTTGTCTGTACACCAGATACTATTCCTCTAATCTTTTGGAAGCCTCTTTCCCTAGCACTGGATGTTTCCTTCCCTGTGAGCTCTGGTAAGTAGGCTGCTGGATTCCTGAGGGCACCCTGGAGCTCCTCAGAGTATCCTGGATTCCTGAGGGCACCCTGGAGCTCCTCAGAGTATCCTGGATTCCTGAGGGCACCCTGGAGCTCCTCAGAGTATCCTGGATTCCTGAGGGCACCCTGGAGCTCCTCAGAGTATCCTGGATTCCTGAGGGCACCCTGGAGCTCCTCAGAGTATCCTGGATTCCTGAGGGCACCCTGGAGCTCCTCAGAGTATCCTGGATTCCTGAGGGCACCCTGGAGCTCCTCAGAGTATCCTGGATTCCTGAGGGCACCCTGGAGCTCCTCAGAGTATCCTTGCCGCTCTGAGCTATGCAGAGAGCTGTGACTGTCTCCTTGGCCCCAACCATCTTTCAAGCCTCGGGCAGCTCACAGGGCTCCACCCCAGTTCTCCTCTCTGGCTGGACGGGTCAGAACATTCATCTCTGGCCAAGTACATCCCAGGGAGAGGGATCTTCCACTGTCACAGAATTCCTTATTTCATGTATCCTGTCTCCATTTTTCTTATGTAGAAGAATAATTCTGACCTCTGTCACCCTTTGGTTTTTTAAGTCAGGGTCTCAAATATTCTGTCTTTGAACTTGAAGTAGCCAAGGAGGGCCTTGAACTTCTGATCCTATTGTCTTCACCTCTAGAATGTTAGGATTATGGGATTGCAGACCTGTGCCACCAAGTGTGGTTATACAGTGCCATGGACAGAACCCTGGCCTTGGCACATGCTAATAAGCAAACACTCCATCAACTAAACCACATCTCCCTTCCCTGGAGCCCTTTTGAGACAGGATCACTCTGTAGCCCAGGCTGGCCTAGAACTCCCAGTCAACTTCTTGCCTCACTCTCCTGAGTGCTGGAATTTAGGCACGAACCACCATAGCCCATTCATTCCATCTTACTTGGAAGCAGGAGTTTGGGTTAAAAAAAAACAAAAAACACACTAGATCAAGCAAATGCTCATCTGTCTGCGGATTCTTCGTGTTTTCTTCCAGCATAGTTCATTGTTTGTATTATTTATCCCTTCACGTTGGAATTATCTTCTGTTGTTGTGACCTGAAAGGATACTTTCAGGCACAAGCTACAAATAGCTTTCTCAGAATGATTTGAATAGAAAGGGAAACTTTGTTGCCTGTAGTCAGATCCCTCTTTTTCAAACAAGGGTTGTGTCTCTGGATCTGAAATCCCACTGTCAAAGCTGGTGTTTATGAAGCAAGAGTCTGCAAACTGCAGCCCCACAAACCACTGGCTTCTGTAAATAAAGTTTTACTGGCACGGAGGCACCCTCATTTGTTTAGATGTCATCTATGCGGACGTGGACTTTTCAAGACCTGAGAGTTAATCCTCCAGATTGCCTATGTAGATTATCAAGGGAAATGCTTGGGAACCTTTCCCTCTTCCTGGACCGCGTCTTTGCTTGGGGCTTGAAGTTACTATGTTGTATACATTTTGAGGTGCTGGGACCGGCTAGCTTGGAGTAGGTTTGGTTCGTTGATTTAAAAAGCTCAGAAACAGCCGGGCGGTGGTGGCACATGCCTTTAATCCCAGCACTTGGGAGGCAGAGGCAGGCAGATCTCTGTGAGTTCGAGGCCGGGCTGGACTGACAGCCTCCAAAACAATACAGAGAAACCCTGTCTTGTAAAACCAAAAAAAAAAAAAAAAAAAAAAGCTCAGCAACATTGGCAACCCACACAGTTTACTGTTAAGTGGGTTCTCATGGATGCCAGACAAGATAGGTAGGTTTCCTCCATCTAGGGGCCATCAACTGGTCACAAACCTGTTTTCTGAAATTTTAACCCTAATGCCCAACAGCAGTCACCAGAGTAAGAGTAGCAATGAACAGGGAAGTGGGCAAAGCGCTCCCTAGATCGCTCACAGAGTCCCTTCCCCAACTGCCTGAAATGCACAGGAGATACTCATTCTTTTCACATCCGAGGAAACTGAGGAACAGAAATAACTGCTTTTATTTATTAATTTGCTTTTGTTCCCAAGCCCCATATGGACCCACTGTTTTAAATTCAGAGGAAGCCTACAGAGTACACCTGGGTCTCATTTGTCTCGGGGGTGTAAGGCAACGTGGAAACAGATCTTGGACAAACAGACACACTAGGTACCTGGGAGAGGCACCGCAGACTGGCACGGGGGAGAGGGGCGGTTACAAAGTTCTAATTTGGAGGGGTTAAATACTTCAGAGGCAAGCAACCAGCGTGGACTCAGGGACTCCAGTGGAGGGTCTGGAAGGCTGGTAAAGGACCAGCCAGAGAAGGCTCTCTCTCATGGGGACACTTACGGGACAAAGAGGAAGCATGGGTGCTGTCAGGAAAGACCTTCATTTGTCTGGTCACACTATTTTGGGTCTTTGTCCTACAAACAGTGCTCAGATTTTAGTTTTGGGTAGGGCGATTTTAAAAACTGAGCATCACACACATGCGGTAACTAGTGAATATAATATATGTGTGTGTGTATACTATATATATGTGTACAGATTCCCTCGCAGTAATTCTGCTCTGAAGAGGGTTCGCTCTACCCAACTAACTACACCGGGCCATTCTGCCTGCGTTTTAAAAATTAAGAACAGATACACACACGAATGTAGGCTTGTGTAACCCCAACCGAGTCGTTCTCAGCAGCCCAGAAGGCTCCGGGGACCCTTCAGTGGCTTCCTGCGCTGGAGTCGCCATTCCGCTGTCGTCCTCCCAACCATCCTTTTGCCTCAGACCCCACCTGGCACGGTTGAGCCCTAAGCCCTCCCTCGGCTGAAGCAACCCCGGGGTCCACAAAGGGCTCCTCCTCTGCGGAGGGGGGCTCGTCGCGAGGCATGGTCTACATCAACCTATTCGGCCGCGTGTCGCCTGGACACGCACCAGGCCGACACCCTGATAATCAGTCGGGGGGAGGTAGAGTCAGTCTCA